AAAAAATTTACTTCCTCATTGAGAAACGTCGACTTTACTGGGAAATATCGAAATTCTGCCGTAGCAGTTTTCTCCATCAGAACTCAACTTTTACACAATGAATATAAGATATTCGCAATCGGCGTCAAATCTCCAATCGAGTGATAGATATTTCAAAGTTTTCGTTGATCTTCATTTTTTATGAAAATCCCAGTAATTGTTCGGCATGAAAATTCAAAAAAAATCAAATTGATCGAATAGGTTAAAAGAAGTACGTCATGCGACTAGATTTCTGACGCCGATTGCGAATATCTTATATTCATTGTGTAAAAGTTGAGTTCTGATGGAGAAAACTGCTAATTACGGGCATTTTCAGGATTTCTCATTCGAAACTTCGTCAAAAAATTACAAAATAGATATTCGCGACGAGCTCTATAGAACGATGTATGATTTAGAGAAAAATCGTTTTTGCCAATATTTTGCATTTCCAGCACCTTAAATAATATGGAAATTAGTAGAAGAAGAAAAGAAGAATACCCGCCTTGCGGTATAGGGTGCTGCCGTAGCAGTTTCGATAAGCCCGATATCTTCCTTACAGCTGATGATCTTCAGAGACCGCCAACCGTTCTTCTACTAGTCACCAAGAAAGCTGTAGGTCTGGACAGAAGGCCAGCCTGACACAGAGTTCTTTTGACCCAATTGCTTGAGTTCCTCATACACACTCACTAACCACGTACTAGCACCGAAGTGCCGGTGTATGTCAAAACGTAGTGAGCATGCTATCAGACGGGTGATCCGGGACAATAGCCGTTAGTAACTTGTTCAAGGTTATTCTATGACTGGGTGGCGCCGAGGTTCGAACACCTGTGGAGTATGTGCCGAACAACATAACCACTCAGCCATAGAGGCCTCTGGCGGAAAATTAGTAATATGAAGTTTATTAATTAGACTTTTTAGTGTTGACCATGGTTCGAGTCTTTTTTCGGACAGACTTCACGGATGGAAAGAGCTTTAACCAGGCGGCTTCCAGTATTGGACAGGAGCTACTGGGAAAGAAAGCTATAAAAAAATTATGTCTCCCGATCAGCTCTACCATGACGCATTTCGTCGAACAAAATATGAAAGTTTCCTATTTCAAGAAAACAAACGTATTTTGAATTCGGAGAGGTTGATTCGAACATCTAGACTTAAGCTTTAAAACTGCACAAGTCCTAGATTTTAATCTCACATGGTTAGGGAGCTATACGCATTTCTCGAGGGCGTACCAATTGTCAAAAGTCTAAGCTTCGAAACAGCAAAAACACATGGATCATAGGTTATCGACCTTACCGATCATTGTGGCTACGTTTAGTTTCTTCCACAGGGTACACAGACTTCACCTAGGTCGGATGTAGTCCATTTCTCGTAGCAAGTTGTATTTTTAAGATTTCTCATTCGAAACTTGGTGAAAAAATTACAAAATAGATTTCGTGATCAGCATCACGAACTCTTTCCAACGATGTATGATTTAAAGAAAAATCGTTTTTGCTAATCTTTTGCATTTCCAGCACGTTGTTAATCAACAATGAAGTGTAATGCATACTATCATACAGTCTCTGTACCATCGAAAAAGCTTGTCTGGATCAACCTTGCGATCGAAAAGTGGAACTCATCGCAAAGGATAAACTAGATTACTATTGTAAGTTGCGTGGTGGCCGAGAATTTTAAGCCCAAACTCTTGAAGTGAATTAATCTCACATCCACAAACGATTTCGTTGTATTTCAGACGCGCAAGGTTTGTTGAGGCATGGCCACTCGCGATCCCATAACTTTCACCTCAGATAAGAGACTACGGATTGTAGCTGTACTCGGACGCACGGGTGCAGGCAAGACAAGTTTTTACAATCTAATGACAGGTGAACGTGAAGCTCTCGGCGATCACATCAACAGTAAGACACAAGTGTGTGTACAAAAGAAAAGTTCAGATAATCGCTTTCGCTACATTGATACTATCGGCTTCAAAGATACTCAACGAGAAAACGAAAGTCACTTAAAAATCGTTGAGTATTTCACCGCGTTTAAAGACGGTCTTGATGTCATCTTCTATGTCACTTCATGGCAGTGCTTTACATCTGACGATCGAAATATTTTCGACGATACCTTCAGGACAATTCTCACGTCAAAAGCACTTGCTAATACGTGCCTTCTTCTCACCAACTGCTCGAATTTGGATCTCAAAACGGTCAATCAACGGGGACATACGGAGCGCCAGGAACTAGTCAGGAAATTGCATACAAATACTCACTATGGATGTGTGCTCAACAAAATTGATGATCGTGTTGTCTTCGTCGATATCGAACAGAATGAAAATGCAGGAACACGACGAATCACGTCCAACGAGGTCACGCTCAATTTCCTCCATGATTTTAAATGTGAGCACTTCAGTAACGATAACATTACCGCTGCAGCTCGACTGATAAATGATGTTGAAACCTTCAAAGCCAAAGTGTCTCAACTGACTACGGACAACGAAAAGCTTCGGACCCAGCTTGCATCTAAGGTGCAAGAGTTTAAAGCTGTTACTGCTGAGTATTACGAAATGAAGAACAGTTACAAAAATGAGATGAAACAAAACGAAGAGGCTCACAAAACCAACGTTGAGAATATGATATCAACGCAAAATGAATTGATAAAAGAGAAGGACTTGATTGAAGAAGAAGTGGCTCTTCTTCAACAGGACTTAGCCAACGGTCCACTCTACAAAGTGTTGAGTTGGGTGCCCGTAATTAATATTGCCACGAAAATCTGTGATCTCATAATCGAAGACACGATTTCCGCTCGATTCGATAAAATTCTCAAAAAGAAGAATAAGAGAGATTGATGTAACTCACGTTTGTAAATCAACGAATTTTCGTACAATACAAGAGAGTGTCGTCGTACAGTTAAATAGCTTCGCTTCAAACTGGCTATTACGTAATTACAGAACAATATACAACAAAATCTTCGATTTGCAGAATTCTCAAAGTCTCAATAGACTCTGCCTTAAAAGAGCTGAATCCTATCTTATCCGGATCTTGCTGAGAAATAGAGAGATCCAACCACGATTTTCATTTTAGTTTATACGTCGGCCAAGTGATGAATTCGACCAGTTACTCAATGTTCATAACTCATGTCATAAATCTGCATACAGTCCAGCCGGGCCTGTAAACAAATTCTCTAATGTTTCTGTATCTAAACTAATTGGCAATAATTCGCAAAATAAAAACATTTTCAAAACCAAACAAACAGAGTAGATGGAAAATTTCTATTATAATGAACAACTCTGCGCTCAATGAGATTAGTTTTATAACTGGATGAAAACGTGGTTCTAACTTCGCACAGGCCCCTGCACTCTAATGAACACATGATCCCAACAGAATAATGTAAGTCTTGACGATTGTGGTCATATGTAGATTAGGTATGCACCGGTACCGGTATACAGAATACCGAAAATATCAAACATCGGTATAAAACGAGACCGAAAATACCGACTTTTTTTGATTTTTTCATCTGAAGTGAGATAGTTTAGCGCCCTGGACACCCAGAAAGAATCAGAGATGAAAAACAAGAGCTTTGTATACTTTCTAAGGCCAAAGTTTTCCTTTATTTTCTATGTAAGTTGTTCTTACACATGCTCAGAATACACAGCTGAATGTTTTTTGTGTTCTGACTGTCCATGACGCTAAACTATCTCACTTCAGATGAAAAAATCAAAAAAAGTCGGTATTTTCGGTATGGATACCGATACCGGTGCATACCTAATGTAGATTCAGATAGACGTTGACATTGCCACCGATCAGCGCCGTAGATAAACATATTAAAAGTATCGCATGTACTTGAATGTATATGTGAGGAAGTTTTTTTGTTTTTCTGTTGTTGATTGTTATACATTTATTCACGAGGCACGTTCACTTTTCGAACATTGAAATAAATCATTTATATCAATATCTAATCGACCAAGTAAATGTAAAATATCTAACGTAATAACTGTTATCAAATTGAGCTGAGTTTTGACAGCAACAACTGCTAAACGAAGGAATCTTGACACAAGTGATACTATCAGTCCAAATACTATTTCACTCATTGCTTGTAAATTAACAACTTTTGAATTAAAATTAATTAATACGTTTTTGACGCTATTGACAATAATGCACACACGCTCTTAAATTGACC